GTAGGTACTCACACTAAGGTGCCCTACTTCAACGGCCGTGTGTTCCTCGAGAACAAGAGCCAAATCGGGCAGGTCGATGAGATTCTCGGACCCATCAATGAGTTCTACTTCTCTGTGAAGATGCAAGAGGGAGTGGTCGCTAAGAGCTTCAAGAAGGGTCAAAAGGCAAGTGAAGTGGATGTGCATGCGTGCAAAATCGCACATCGTGCAGGTTTACATCGACGGCAACCAGACTCTTCCCTTGGAACGGTTCCTCCCTGTGAAGAAGAGTATCGGCCCTAAGAGTGAGTCATCGAGACAATGGATTTGGTCTGAGTAGCGTTGGTTTCATCAGAGCACGCCGCTGGTGGCAAGGGTAAGGGCGGCAAGGGTAAAGGAGGCAAGGGTAAAGGAGGAAAGGGCAAGGGCTTCGGCAAGGGTAGGAGTTAAGACGCTTTCTGTTGGTGTTCTAGAGGCTCTTGTTCAGGTAAGGGCTCTGGTAAGGGCAAGGGACATTCCGGCAAGGGCAAGGGTAAGGGAAGATGGTAAAGAATGGTACTCCATAGTGGCCATATGACGACTTAAGATTAGTAGTACTCCTTTTCCTACGCTACTGAATCGCCTTACCAACGTCCTAGGGGAGCTGTAGTGTTGTTCAATTCGAGTGGCATCAATGCGCGTTCCTATGGTGGTTGATAGCGGTCTCAACTGGGTGGGTTTCGGCGGGGGTTTGGGAGGATGTGGCGGAATGTAGATGCCGCGGGAATGAGTATGTCACGTTATAAAAAGTTGTCGGAACTCTACAAATAACAAACAACTTTTTGGCATGAACTGACGTTTTGCGCTATCAGTGTAGCTGGCCGTCAGTTATAGTGACCAGAAATTGGTAACCAGTTACACTGATACCTGCAAACTGATGCTGGAGAGTCTCTCAACGGCAAACTTTGGAGTAAAGAGACTCCATATGACTCCGCTTGGAAGTGGTTGAGATCGTTACGGTACAGATTCTTACCCTTGAGCGAAGTAGTTTTACTTTGTGTGGAAATAGTGTCACTCCATGAGTGCGGCTCTCAGTGCGTGTTATCGTATCGAAAACGGTCTGGTAGAGGAGGATCACCTCTCGCGGTAGCCGACTGCCACTCTTGGTCAGTATTGTGTTGGTTATTGTTTTCAAGGCGATGTTACTGGCCGTCAACTCCATCAGTCGTCCTGTGATAGAGTGTGTCGGTTACAATCTTATGACTCCATTTATTCGGTGTTCTCTCAATGCAATGGAACATATTAAACCAGGAGTGAAGGCGCGGTGTGGTACTCGCTAGTCCTAAATCAACCTTAGCTCCCTTATTAGTGCCTTCATTGAATGTTGCTTGGTTTACGGCCGAGGCGTCAGTGGGCATCAGGCCTGCTCAAGAAGACACGTTCCTGTGCGACAGCTACTGCTGCGAAGGTCCATCATCAACAGGGGCTCGGTGATGGACTTGAGAGCGAGGAGAAAGTCTCATCTCCACCACCACCACCGGTTCAAGTGTAGGTTTATGCCTTCACGGTTAAGGAAATGCCATCGATGGAATATTCTGCTGGTTGGTGTGTTTCGTAGTGTGTACGTCTGTCCTTATGCCCTATTGTTTCTTGTAGGGCTGTCTAGTGGGATTGCCTGGCGTTTCGCTGCATGTGAGATAGAGTGTGACTATGGGAATATGCGGACATGTGATCGGAAGTGTATCTGACCTCTTTGCGGGCTTCAATACCTCAATCCTATTTGCCAACAGATGGATGCTAAGCTGAGGAAGTTAAAGACAACGGAAGAGATACTAACGGCCATTATCACCCACAGAGGTGTCATGTTTGTGCAGAATCTCGTCACGGCAGTTGAGGTATTGTTCCGGGGCAGAGGGCACTTAGGCGCTGAGATGATGCGTCTGCTTATGGTACA